ACACACACACGCACACACAACATACGTACATAAAAATACCCACACCTCATTTCTTCGTTTGTCTGCTTTTTTGTAATTTTGTATATATGCAGCAAAAAGTTTGTTCATTTAAACGTAACACCTGTTCCTTCTCTTATATGGATGCCTGTCTGAACACCTCCCCCCACCCCTCCCCCGCCCAATCATCCCCCTTCCCCGGTTTTTGCCACCCATATTAAATAAAACAATCACTCATATATTATTGTCAACTAACAGTCTCAACTCACAATCAAACCATCACTCTCATCAATTATTTCCTTTTCAACAACAGAGATCCTGATTGAGGCTGTTTACTTTACTGTGGATCCCTACATCAGGTAAGCTAAACCTTTTTTACAGACTTAAAGCAACCCTTTTTATTTTAAAATTTATAATAAAAATTATTGTTAAATTTTAGGTGGTCGTGTCAATTCATTGTGGCAATCAAAATTCATGCGTCTGTATCAATTCTTCTGAAGTCGATATGTGAAGGGTGCTGACAAAATGAGTTGTTTCTTGCACTCAAGTCTTATTGAATTAGATACATCACGCTTATTGGTGCAGTTTCTTACAGTTTAGAAGTAGTATGAAATAATAAAAAGCAGGTTATACTTAAAGAATATGGCATAAACAGAAAATCTACAAATTTGACCCTAGTGTCGATTTTAGGCCTATATCTCCATTTGTGGATTGTGAAAAGTAACTTATTTTGTCAGCACGTCTCACATATACATAATTTTTATTTGACATAACTCTCTCCCAATCTCTCACTCCATGTTCTCCAAAAACCTCTTTCTTCATGTCTTCTTGTATGTTCTTCACAGAGTCCTGGAGCTCCCCACAGGATTGCCCGCTGAGCAAGTTGCCAGGTATTTTGTTTGCTTTTGTTTTTTTTTCCCCTCTTATGTCTACCTGTCTGTCCCTCCATTCAGCTATGCATTCCTTCACTGATTAATCCATCCATCCTTCCATCCATCCATCCATCCCTCCATCCATCCCTCCATCCATCCATCCATCCATCCATCCATCCATCCATCCATCCATCCATCCATCCATCCATCCATCCATCCATCTATCCACCCATCCATCTATCCATCCGTCCACCCATCCATCCACCCATCCATCCATCCATCCACCCATCCACCCATCCATCTATCCATCCATCTATCCATCCATACATCTATCCATCCGTCCATCTATCAATCCATCCCCACATTGAGCATAGGTTCCTTTCGTTTATGTCGCCCTACCTCTTGTTTATCTTTCAGTATCCTTTTCCACACCCACCCTCCCATCCTTTCTCCAACCTCTCTTTTTCTCACATCTTTCTCAGCCTTCTCTCTCTTTCTTCCATCCTCTCTCTTTGGCTTTACCCTTCTCTCACTCTCTTTCTCCCTGACGCACTCACTCGGACACACATACACACACACACACACACACACTCTCTCTCTCTCTCTCTCTCTCTCTCTCTCTCTCTCTCTCTCTCTCTCACCTTTTCCCCACTCCTCTCTCCCCCTCTCTCTCACCTTTCCCCTTCTCTCTCCCTTTCACTCACGTCTCCCCTTCTCTCTCTCTCTCCCTCACAACAGAATCGTGGACTCCAAAGCCAAAGACTTCCCCAAAGGCTCCCTCGTCCTCGCCCACGTTGGCTGGAGAAGCCACGCCATCATCAACGTCAAAGAACCCATGAACTTGGGCTACAAACCCGCCATTGTGCCTCAGGTGGCTGGACTCTCTCCCTCCCTGTGGCTCGGAATCATCGGCATGCCCGGGTAAGTACCCCCCCCCCACATGTTGTTTAATACATGTAATAATGGTAGATAATGCATTTAATAATATTTGATATAGCCGACCGCATTGATGCTACAAGAGAAGCGGTATGCTGTACGGGCCGACAGATAAACTGAGCAGGATGGCCGAATATTATGATAGATACCGGACTTCAAGTGTTCAGTTTCAGTTAGAGTTTTACGGCACTGCAACACAATAAAGTCATATAAGTGTCGAAGATTAGAGGTGTTACAAGAGAGTAACAAACACAAAAAAGAAGGAGGAGAGATAAGGATGATAGACGTTTGATAGAAAAGAAGAAGCAAACCACACCAGAGCAACCGCCAACCACCCACTATTTCAAGTGTGATGCGATCGAGAAGAAGAAGAAGAAGATATTAATTACTCCCGAAAATCCCTGCTCAGCAGCAAGCTCAAATGCGCTTTATGATCCATGTTATTATTATCCCAAAAAGACTGTAGAATACCCAGAAGTATTCTCGGCTTCCCGGGAAATATATTAGTGCAAGCAAGTAGCAGATTAAAAGATCAAACACTAACAAACCGACACGATCTTTCGCTGTCTATAGCCGGGTACCATTCTCACTTGAGTGAAGTGAGGAGTATTTGGGGAGTTAAACCTGCACAAGCGGGTGGTTGGCGGGTGCTCTGGTACGGTTTGCCCCTTTCCTGTCAAACATCTATAGTCCTTATCTCTACTTCTTCTTTTTGGTGTTTGTTACGATCTTCAAACATTTTTACACTTCGGTTCTTTCCTATCAAACAAACACCTATCGTCCTTTTCTCTTCTCCTTCTTGTTGGTGTTTGTTGCTCTCTTGTAAAACTTCTTTTTTTCTGAACTTTTGGGACTTAGTTGTGTTGCAAGTACCGTTAAACTCTTACTAAAATAAAAACAACCCCCCCCCCCAAAAAAAAAGGAAAATAAAAGAACAAGAACCCCCCCTCCCCCACAAAAAAACAAAACAAACATTTTAAATGGTACAATTTTCACCTGTAATATGACGTCACTTACCCCGCACCCACTGACCGGAAGTACGTATATATTATCTTCCACAGAGTGACCGCCTACATGGCCTTCCTGGAACGCTGTGACCCCAAACCTGGTGACGTAGTCGTCGTCAGCGCAGCTTCCGGTGCCGTGGGCAGTGTGGTGGGACAGCTGGCTTTCTCCAAGGTGGGTTGATGGTTCGGATCCATGTACATGTCATATCTGTGGTCTGAAACACGTCAATGACGTCAGATTGTGTGTATTTTTTTTCTTCCAAAATTGGGTTATTGAGAGTTGGGTAGGAAAGTAGGTATTATATTCAGTAATGAAGGTCGTTGGCCCACATCCAATCGCTACCTCAGGATAATTACAAAGATTTGGCTTAAATTTTTGGCCTTTTTGAGTTACTAAGACCATGTTGGTCAGGAACCAAATTCTAATGCTCTCTATGTGCTCTGTCAAAATCGTAAAAGAATTCGGAGTCGTTTTAAGATATTCAAAGAACTGCATTCGGAAAAAGCTTGGCATATTGTGGAGCTAAAAACATTGGACGTCAAATTTTTCACAACTAGAACGTTGTAATTAGGAGGTAGCGAAATAAATCATAAAGATGTTACATAAGAAACGTCCGCGAAACATCATACATTATGAAAAACAAAATTAGTCCGAAAGTGAACAGTCAGAGAGAAAAAAAATTGAACATGGGTTTCTTGTACTTTGTCATTTGTCAATCGTTACTTTATTGTTTCAACACTCTACTACTAACTCCCTCCCACCCCCACCCCTCCCCCCACACACACGCGCATACATGTTGCCTCATTCCAGCACCCCACTTCATACAAACAACCCTTTCGGTCAGAAAAAAGGCTTAAACAAGGAAGACGGCAACTCAAAGAATAATCTATGAATTTATAGTATGATACATTTTAAATGTCAGATTTTAGTATTAAATAAGCACACTATGTAAATTTGAATAAATAGATAAAGGAAAAGCTATTGTATAGAAAGATTGCTTCCCGAACAGCACTTTGCATTTTTTTCATACGTGTAATTTGCATAATTTTCAGGGCTGCACAGTGATTGGCTCTGCTGGGTCCAAGGAAAAATGTGAATGGCTGAAATCCCTGGGCTTCCATCACGTGTTCAACTACAAGGAAATTACACCTGTAGATGCTCTGAAGAAATACGCCCCTGAGGGTGTGGATATCTACTATGACAACGTGAGTACTTTGTGTTTAGGGGGGGGGGGATGAACGAGTCCTAATTTAACCCACCCCCCCTCAACAAAAAAACAACAAAACAACAAAGTGCAACAAAACAAAACAACAACAACAACAAAAACACAAAAAAGCCAAACAAACTGGAAGGCGCAGGGAGATTTGGTAGGGGGAGGGGGGGGGGTGATGGGAAGTGGTTCTTTATACGTTTATCTTGGACAGGTGTCAGGTGACCATTAGAACGTGTTTGCTTGACTGTATTTTGAACAATGTTGACTCTATCACTCCTATGACCTTTTCCCTTCTCTTCAACATATTGTATATTATATATATTTTTCCCCCCGTCTGTTTCAGGTGGGAGGAGAATTCACCGAAGCCGTCCTCAACAGCCTCAGGCCAAACGCCCGTGTCCTCATCTGTGGTCAGATCGCTGACTACAACAGGAAGAGGGACGAAGGTGAGGAGATGGTTGTGGGATCAGGGTGTGGTTGTCATTTCTCTATGTGGAATTGTAAAGTGTGCGGACAAAATGAGTTACTTCTTGGATTCAAGCCTTGTGGAAATAGAAACATCATGCTTATAAGTGAAGTTTTACTATTTATAAGTATGAAATAATAAGAGACATGCTATACATAAAAATAGAGCATCAAGAGAAGATCTACTAATTTGACCTTGGTGTTAAGTGTTTGCCAATATCTCCATTTGTGGATTGCGAAAAGTAACTCAGTTCGTCAGCACGCCACACAATTGATAAACCCGATGAATTTATTATTATTATTATTATTATTATTA